TTGTCCAGAATCTACTATTTCCTTTTGAAAATTTCTTCACACTCTAGTTGTCTCTAATTATGCACTCTAGTCGTCTGCCATTGTGTACACTCTTAGATGTTGTTCTCTGAAGCATTGCACAAATATTAATCAAGATAGACTCTTAGATTGTGATGCAAGAGTTGCACAAGTTTCTGTTTACTTTTCACTTTCTTCTTTTGATGCCAATTTCTAGAATCATTTTATTTTTACAAAGCTAGACTATCAGGATTTCTGGCCATATCACTTTCTCTACACATTGGCCACTGGCATGTCGAACTCTTTATATTTATTTCATAGACACAGTGTCTCATTTCTATCCGAAATACCTGTGCACTCTATAGATTCGCATACATTCCAGTGACTTTGTTAGTTACAGTAATAATAGAATTATCAAGTTGCTTGTTTACTCATTTCTGTTTGTGTCTTAATTTTGATTTAATACCAACAATTTTATTATATTGAAAAGGATTTAGGAAGTTTTATTTAAAAATAAAAGTAATCAAGTGAAAATTGGAAATCCATTTAGTCTCTGGCACTTTTTGCCTAGGATCAGTGAAGTGTCTGTGTGCTCTGTGAAAAGTGTTTTGCACACACATTCTGCTTTATATATAGACATTGCTCTGTTTTTAATAACCATATATCAACTTTTTGTTATAAAATGTTTCAGTAAGGGTTCTTGTGTATTTTAACTTCTGAAGGTGCATTGGGATGGCTAAAGATGCCTTCCAAAAGCTAAGCAAAGTATTAAGAGAGAGAAACATCTTATTAGAAACAAAAAGAAAGGTCTAATAGTAAAAGGTATGAAATTGTGGCATTAATTCAAAAGCACATAGGAAGAGTGAAAAATACTTTTCAGTAAGGTAGAATCATTATTAAGAGATTGGAAAATGTCCTCTTATATGGCAGTGAATATTGGATAGTTTTCTCACAGATGAAAACTTGAAGCAACAGATGTGACTTTAACAACAGCTGTTGAGTACACCATAGACATAGGAGAAATGAAAAAGTCTTGAAGAATAGGAAATATAAAGAAATCATTGCTAATAATCAGAGCTAAAATATATATAAGGAAAGAAAGCTTGAAAAATCTAACACTCACAGAGACCCAGAATGCAAAAGAAGCAGAGGAAAACGGTAAGAAACTTACTTGAGAAGCTTGAGGCAATGGATGGTAAAATAAATATTAAAAAGACAAAGTAGGGTCACAATCTGAAGAAATATGGCAAATACATATGAGATTTAGGGTGTGTCTTTAAAAGAAAATGGAAGTCTTGTGTTTACTCTCTGAACTTAACATGAATTCTTTTTTATTGACATCAATAGATAATGAAGAAGGCTTCATAAGACCTTGGAAATCAAATCCATTTGTGTCCAAGATTGATTTCCAGGTAACTGAGAAGATTCTTTGAATTCTCTCTGAGAAAATGCCAGTCAATGTTTTTAAACTGGCTGGATTTATTAAACCTGTCATTCACACTATTTGCAAAGCTTGTGTCTGTTATGTGGAATTGCAATGACAGGGAATAGTCAGGAGACAGAAATGTTTTTCTAATAGATTGCTCAAGTGTATTTCTTTGTCAATGCATATTGGAAATGTTTGCTTCATCTTATTGACTTGATCATGGGACATTGGAAAGAAATTATGAGGTTTTGGTGGATTTTATATTCAAGAATATCTTGAAAATGTTTTGGTGATTTTTTTTATAGAATGTGTAAAAGCTCTCCCCAAATACTTTGTAAAGATTATGTCAACCTCAAAAGAAATGAACAATAAGTTGGAAATGAGATTCAAAAAAAAAAAAAAAAGTTATTTAATCTTGAAACTTGAGAATTGACAAAGTATGAACCACTTTGATTCATGAGAACAAAACCAAAAAAAAAAAAAAAAACTCCAATTTTGTTTGATCCTTCCAGAATAAATGAAGAAAAACTATTTCATATTTTTCATTTAACTTAAACCTAAAAAGATTAGATATTAATTACAAACTGCATGTAAAAGGAATTGATTCTTGCAGAAATCTGATCTTATAGATATGTAAGTTGCTAGCAAAATGTTTGGAGAATTTGACCATGAAAAAAATTTATGTAACCTAGTTTCCATCAACTCCTTCAAACTAGTTCCTTGCCTGCTATTTATAAAATGATATACAAAAAATAATGCTCATAAAGGGTAGTGGCAAATGTCTATACTGGATCTAGTTCATGTACACAGACATTGTTCCTATTTTAGTAGCACTTTGTGTGCGCATATGTACAATGTGGGTGCTGAAAGGAAAGAAACTTGTCACAACCAAGAAAGGGTTCTTCCCAAAATTCTAATGTTGGGTGAGGCTGAGAACTTTTCAGTAGCCAGCATGTGCGATGTGGTGGTATCGAAATGTTCCTGGATGGAACATGCTGTGATTGTATTATTCACTAGTGATACATATACAACTAATGCTCATTGACACCTTATCCGCCCTGTGTAGATTGCCTATAGGGTTTGTGCTATCTATTTGTGTTCAGTTCTTATACAATATTAAGTAATGGATCTATTGGAACAGCTCTGTGATTTTTTTTTTAAAATGGCGAACAAATTTTAGCAAACATATCTGCATTAAATTTATATCTGTTATGGATACCCTTGTATTCTTTTCATCAGGTTTTTGGTGAGCATTCACAGAGTGTCATGCATGTTTCAAGGCTGACCAATTGCCATTACTTTTCCAGAAAATATTTGTATAAGGATGAGAACTACTACTCAACATGCATCATGCTGACGCCTTATGGAAGAGGGTTTCTGCAGTGCTTTTGAGATTTCTGTGTCTGGTTCCAAATTTAAATATATGAAATATATTATTTACTGGAGCTATAGGTTGTGTGTGTGTAATATATATATATATATATATATATATGCAACAGGCTGTTTCATGCTAGATGCAATCATCAGACCACAGTCTGGCCTGTCGATTGTGTCTAGCATGAAACAGCCTGTCACCTCTAAGTGTTGACTTCAATGTTCACTTTTATATTTACACACGCTCTATCTCTGATATTGAGCACGTTATCCCATAAATATAGCACACCTTAAGAGTATATTTCTTCACACACACACACACATATATATATATATATATATATATATATATAGTACATTTGTCACTATTCTACACAATCGTCAATGTTGCCAAGTCTGTTACGGTTTATCATGACATGAAAAAATAACCCACCCACCTCTACCATTTGAGCCTGACATTTAATTGGTTAATCAAGATATACCCACAAGTCTAATTTTAATTCTGACCTTATCCCTCCCGCCTGCAACTTTTGGAAATGAGGTAACGATTTGTTTTTAAATTTCCCTAAAAAAATCATTTTATCACCAGTTACCTACCATTGCCTGAGGAAGTACAATCATAGTATTGAAATATGAAAGCTTTTAAAAATGTTTTTATGATAATCTATATATATATATATATATATATATATATATATATATATATATATATATTCCACAGTTTATATGCTAGTGATTATTTTTCTTCATATGATTGATTCAAACCTTTTCGTTGCTATATTAAAATACCTTGGGGGAAAAAAAGCCCTGCATTTCATGCTTGTATCTTCCTCATGCTTTTATGATCACACATTGTTAGGATTTTAGAATTGTTTCTCTTTGATACTTAAAACCATTTACCCAATCTGTCACTTGCTTGCAAATTTTCATAGAATATAGTGTTAGTTTCAGGCTGAGTAGCAACTGCTCACTAAACTTTACATTTCAAATAAATTTGATGAAATTATAATGGTTTATTGGCATCAAATGAAAACCCTTATGCCTTCATTACCTGAGCGCTGGTTGACAATTTGGAATCCAACCTGATGCTGAAAAGAACCTTTACTCAAAAACCTTTTAAAAGATTTTGCAAGTTGATTAAAAGCTCCACTTTTTACCATTTTTTAAAAAGTTCTTTTGAAATTTTCCACTTTTATCCAAAGAAATCATAGTTACTTTTATCAATTTTAAAAGTAATTACTGTCAAAAAATACAACTTGCACAAATTGACAGAACAATATTTTTGTGTCAAAATTAAAATTGGGTAAATTTAAATTTAGTAAGTTTAATATTTTTTTTAGTTATGCTCTGAAGACATTTATTTTCCTAAAATTCTCAAGGGAAAAAAAGAAAAAAAACCCAACTATTTTGGACACTTTTGCCTTTTGAAATCTATGCATTTCACATGAATGTAAAATAGATATTTTTAATGAATCTAAAATGTTTCAATCAGAATAATTAATTAAACATGTGGTACAAAATAATGATGCCAAGTATTTTTTATTCTTGCCATATCATAAAAGTGTATCTTGCGATAAATATAACTTATTTTTTTTGCTGTTGAAAATGGATGTGTGGGTGGTGTAACAGTTATTAGCATAAAAAATGAAATGTCTTTGTGAATTCATCTTTTCTCTCTTTGCTATTATTAAAATAAATGGGTAGACTGTTTTCTTTGGCTTTAGCAGGGCAAAAGTCACAGTTTTCAGATGTTTAAGAAAAGGAATCTGTCGAGAGCTGTATGTTTGCCTATGTGATATTGCATTTAAAATGCTGAAAAATTTAACCTAAGAAGAAAAATTATTTTTTTGTGTTTTTTTTGCAGGAATAAAGTATTGACAAAAGTCTGTAAATTTTCAATTCTCTTGTTGAAGTTTTCTTCTTGATTGACGAATATAAAATATTCTTTCGTGTGATGGAGTATCATGTACATAGTTTAAAGTTTATCTTTTTTTTGCTTATTTAATCAATTCACAGTCTTGATTCCCTCTCACCTCCACCAACTCCCTCTCCCAGATCTTCTATCATCTCTAACATTTAGAATTATGGACAAGTCAGCATTATTTATTATTGGATAAATGCGAAAGATTCTTAATATCATAATCTGATATTTGCTTCTTTATTTTACATCATCATTATTGATTTTATTTTCTTTTTATTTCAGTGACATTTTTGATGCCATGTTTCCTGTCCATAGACATGCTGGTGAAGTCATCATTCAACAAGGTAAACATTTTAGTAGCAGTAGCAGCATCAGCAAAGGGCTCTGCTTTGAGTGCCAAGATAATCGGAAGAATGATAACTTTTTATGCATGATTTGTTTGAAAGCTACTTTCAGTTGCCTGTAATGTTGCCTCATTATTTTGAAAATTTATATTGTAATTGTTTGCAAAGTCTAATTATCATTCAGCTGAATTTTATTAATTAGTTTTAAAATATGTGTAAACAAGTAAAAGATTCTTCATTGCATATTCTTGTTATTCTCATTTTAATTCAGAGAAACTGCTCTGCAATTAGAACAGACTGACAATAATCTCTCTTGAACAAACTTTATTTGATTAATTTATACTTAATTAAACATTACTCAAAAACCAATTGGACTGGAAAATTTTATAATGTTATGCTAATAAAAATTGTGTTATGATGTTCTGATTTTACTGTTCTGGTATCAAATACACAGAGAAACTGGATAATAATAATATAGACAATCTTTTAGTGTTATCTCAGATTTACTCTAGCAATTTTTATTGGCCTGCTTGAAGTTTAATTTTTTTCTTGTTGATGCACTATATTCATCTTTTGTTTCATGGAACTATAATAAACTCTTTCTATAAAAAAAAAAAGATCCCTATTATATTTAATGTGTTACTGAATCTGTTTGGTTAGTCCTTCTTATAGTATATTATCTATTTTAATTAAATAGCTTCACAAATTGATATGAAAATACATACATAGCCATGGGGAGAAGAGACAGGACTGGGATTAATCTTGTACAAAGCAAAGTGGGTTGTGCCTGACAATGGATTTGTCATAATGAGTTTTATAAGACCATATACTCTTCCTGACACCCAACTTGGGCACTCACCGTAGTCCAAGTATACTGAATGTTTTTATTGAAACACCATCTTTAGGAAGGTTGCCATTCAAGGCTTGAGACCTGATCCTGGTCTGTGTGTGTGTCTGTGTATATTTATTGTTTTTAACCTCTCTCCCATCATTCTATGAGCTTGTTGATGCCATTTTTCTAGAAACTTTTTTTTGTTAGCAGAAGAGTTTAATGTAGTTTTTGACTGTTAGTACAGTCAATTTTTTTTCTTTTAAATTGTTCTATAGAAACTGGAACAAATGAAAATTTGAAAGAGCCTAGTCAGGAGAATATGGTGGGTGTTTCAACTCTTTTAAGTTTCTGTAAAGTCTGTTCTGCAACATGTGTCATACGTTGCTGCGATGGACAATAAAACCTTTTCAATTTGCCAAAATCATCCATTTTTCTTGAACCCAAGTCTCTTCAAATAGCAAAAGGCATTTGAGATATTGATTTTCAAATTCTTAGCAATCTCTTCTATTGAAATCTTTATTCTCTATAATGGCAAGCAGAGTATCTTTGTTGACATTGAAAGTTCGCATGGAGAGTTGTTGATCATTTTGGTTGAAATCACCCTGATGAAATCTGCCAAACAACTTTTTGACCATCCGAAGTGTTGGAACATGATCCAAGTAATCTTTCTGAATGTTTTTTTTTTTTGTAGTTTCGATGCTTCCTCCTTTAAGAAATTCATACAGCATAACATGGCAAAAGTGTAACTTTTCATCCTCCATCTTTAAGGCATTCATCTGTGGACAAAATGTTAAATAAAATGTCTGACTTACAACTGAATGATGCAAGGTTTCAATCTAGAACAAACCAGATATCAGCCCCAAAACAGACACCACTGGTCATGTTGTGGCCATTTTATATTAATAAAGAAAATCAGGCATCAGATAGAAAAACAAAAGATTTGGATATTTTAAATAAAATGATAAAGATTTGTCTGAAATGATTTGTCAATAGTTTAGATTCAAACTATTATAGTATTTTTAGTAATGGGGTTGATTTGTAAAATGGCATAGATTTTAGAATCTATATCCATTATTGCCAAATAGCAACACTCTGAATTAAGCCTAATTTTTCTGAATACTGACATTCATGATTACTTATCATTGTAAACCAGAGAACTTTTGTCCTCTGTCTAGTATGATGATGCGTGTACTTATTTTTTTTATATTACAATGTTTTAGATTGCAATTCTTAATGGTGTTGCATTAAAACGTATTGGATAATGAATTTGTCTTTTATTCAAACCTAACACTTTTTTAAAAATTTATTGTTATTGCCCCAAACCAGATTAACCAGATTTTATATTAAAAACATATATAGTTCTATTATAATGGTCTCTTAGGGATTTATAAAAGCTTGTGAATTATTTCTATACATTTTTTAAGTGACTTCTTATTTTAATAATGTTTCTCATGTTATTTTAAACTTATGTAATGTGACAGTATTGTAACAATTTGAATAATTTTCCTTGGAATATGTAACTATGAATGAAAGAAATGTGTGTGTGTAAAAAATATATGTGTATGTAAAAATATATGTGTAAAAATGTGTGTGTGTAATATATATATATATATATATATAAATATATATATATATATATATATATGTATATATATATATATATTAAATAAAAACGGACCACTTTAGGTTCCATGTTTTTTATTTAAATTATTTGCTCTGGATTTACATTGAGCTCTCTGGATTTTATCCTCTTTAGTTTTACCCATACGGATTACCTAGTTTTTCATAAACTAACTATATATAATGTGTGTGTGTGACTGATGAATCTTATAGATATTTACTATGCTTAACCTGATTGGGACCAAGACCAAAATTAAAGAGCACCCATTTCAGATAGAACTTGCTACATAAAGATTTTTATCTCATAGTCAGGTGACTGATGAGATTCTGTGTCAGAAAGAAGAATGTGAATTTTTATTTCACATTATTTATCTGCAAACTGGCAACAACTTTGCGACAGACCACATAACCACTTGAAGGACGACATCTGTTGGGATGTTAATCTGGTGTTTGAGGAGGTTTCGATGCTCTGCCAAGACTGAGATTAGGAGGGAGAAGGTGGCTTTGTGGGCTCAGCACAGTCATGCCATGGGATTTAGCAATGGCATCGTTTATTGTCTGTTTGATTTAAGTGTTTTAACTGTACATATAAAATTAGAAGTTTATAGAAAACCTTTTTTCTGAGGCTGTTGAGTAATCTTCTTCAAGCTTCTTTGAACAATTGAACATCATCCTCTTATACTTGCTGCTGTTAAAACAATGTTTCATTTAATTGTTTCTTCAACCCTGGTCAAGTGTATTCCATAAGGAAAACAAGGAAGCCTTTCTTCTAGGAAACAAACTGTTTTCCCCTCCTCCTCTCACATAACACACAGACAAGGACTAAAGAATGAACTGCCTAAGATATTAACTAAACCAAACCTAGAAAGCAAAAGTTCAGGGTTCAGTTGTTAGAACAATGTTTGCTATGTTAATGGATTTTCTCAAAATTATAAACAGTAAATGTTATTTCTGTCTGAAGTTCTTGGATTAGCAGTTATCATCATTTACATTATTTATATTCAGACTACTGTCCTCATCTTGGTTGTTATCAGATAACAACAACAACAAAGATGAGGAAAATAGTTGTCACTATGATGAGGACAACAACCCGAATATAAAGAGTAAATATTTAAATATTGTTATCTTTTGTACATGATTTAATTCATATTGTTGCCTTCATCTTTGCCATTTTTTTATATTCATGATGGAATAAAAACTATCAAGACATCAGCAATATGAATGAATTAATGTATTATGAGAATTTCAAAATTTCAAATAGAACATTTGCCTTTAAGGAGTTGATATGCTGCTAAACAAACAAACCTTCAAATAGTTGTTCACAAACTATTTTTGCAGAGTGCTTACTCTTTCCCTTTGCTTGTGAAAGACAAAGCAAAGTTTAGTAAGACTTATTGCAGAGTAATGGTTAACAAATCTCATTTGCCTAATGAATCATATATACTTTGTATGTTTAAGAGTCAAAAGACCAAAAAAAATTTGCACGTTTTGTTATACTTTTTTCTCAAATATTTTATATAACTATCAGCAAATCCATGTATGCAATAATATTTATTCATATATGTAATTACTAGCTTAAAAGTGACACTGTTGGGCAGCATTTAAGCTAGCTCCTCTGGAGGGCTCTTGATTGGGCCTTCATCACAATTGCTAGGGAGGAGTAGATGCGATAGGCAACAATAAATTACTGAACAGCTCAAAATTGATCGCTGCATTTAAGTACTTAATTAATATTTAAGCTTAAAAGTTCTATGATTATTCTTCTGCTGACACTTGATTTAAAGGCAACTTTATGTATGTAGGTCCTTACTTTCCGTACAAACAATTATTTTTATTTCATGGGTGAATTTTGCTGGATTTCGCAATTAATTTTGATTATTCCCAAATTTATTTCCAAGTTATGAAAATTATTGTACAAAAAAATTTGTTACAAACTATCACATTAAAAAATTGCCAAAAAACAATCGCAGTAATGAAAACTTGGGAATCCAAAATTTCAGGATTGTGGGTCTAGATCCAGACCAGAATGTTTTTAATTTGCTCACGGAGTCGTCCTGATTTCAAAATGGTATGATATGTTGGACTACAGCCTCAAGAAGTAAAGTTGAAAAAATGTGACACACTGACATTTGTATTTATTATATAGATTACAACTGTTAATTTGGAATTGTTTCAGAAATCACAAGATAAATATATGTACGAAATGGTTTGAGGGTGGGCATCTTGAGGCAATGTAATGGTTAGCAAGCTTGTCTTGCTAGAACAATTATGAATAAGTTTGATCCTCACTGGGTGCCCCATACTTTTGGTCTTGTGTCATCGTCTAACCTACGCTTGAAAAATTGCTATGTATGAAATTTTTTTTTGACTGTCAATTCATAGCTGCATGTTACACTGAAAATTGTGATGAGTTGTACACTGTAATTTTCTTTGGTTTAAGATATTTTATTTCTGCAAATATGGACTCTGATTTATCTTTAGATATGGGTACTGCTGTTTTCACAATCCATACATTAAATGTTATGTCCAGTGGTGCTTTGCAAGCTGC